TAGTTTTAGCCTTTTAGTCATTTGTTGTAAAAACAGTTTTCGAAAGTATGACAGACTCAGCCTGACAGGTAATTCTTTTGTGATCACCACAACAAATTTATTTTTTCTTCTGAATTTTATTTTCCAGTTTTTCAGTTTATTTTCTATGCCATTATGAGGTGTAATTTATTTTTTTACTATAAAGTATAACAAAAACAAAGACATGATCATAGTTTTAATGAGGAACAGCTTAAATATTTACACAATTGTGTTTAAAGCCATTTTAATGAACACAAATAAGTATTCTCAAAGGAATATAAACACAGATTTCCTTGCATTTGCAGATTTTTTATGCACATCACATCCTGATTCTGTCTGGTATATTTACTGTCACATGTGTAGTGTTCTTAGCTTTAACAGCTGTCCTCTCTGGGTAGTTGAGACCAGCTCCTAGCTTTTGTTAATTGAGTCTAATTGAAAAACATGAAGGGAGAATAAAGCCAGCAGGCTTTTAGGACATAAAAGACTTCAGCCGCCTCTCAATAGTATTTATTCTCAACCTCTTCCACTCTGATTTAAGTGTGAGAGGACAATAGTGCCCTGACAGTGATATGTATGCACGTGTAAGTGTGTGTGTGAGTGATCGTGCACGTGTGTGTCTGTGATCTGTCGTTTGATTTACTGCGTCTACCTTCACAAGGACCAGCCTCTTATCAGATCAAAGCTTCAAGCAGCGGCCTATGAAAGAAATTGTGCATGTGTTGGTGCATTGGCTCCGTGAAGGACGGAGGTGTAGGTGAGACGGGAGTGTTTTTGTTGCTTTTAACCCAGGACAATGGCACTGTAACAGAGAGAGCAAGTGAGTACTCTTTGAACTAATGAAGAGGTAACCTATTAGCACTCTTCACAAAGATGTCCAACTTCCTCTGCTATGGACTTTTCCATTTTTCATTGTGCAGTGAAACAAATATAGTTTTTTTTTGTTTCATGCTTTTTACTTCTCATTTCAGCCTAAAACCTCTACAGTCATTAACAAAAAGTTAGATTAAGAAAAGTGAAACACAAAACTGTCAGATAACAGCTGTAAATCTTTTTTGATGAGCTTGAGAAGAAAAGTTAAAATAAAATATTTTATCGTCCCTATTATATAATTACAAAAAATCTTGTAAAAAATACTAACATTTATCATTTTTTTGTAAATTTTAGGTTCACTGGGTGAAAAGACAGCACTGTCATTATAGAGAGAAGCGGATTCCCCCAATGAGACAAAACCATGAAGGTAAGATTAGCCAAAAACATACAGTATTTTACCATGAAAACTTAACAATAACTTAGGATCAAGATTTGGCTCATTTCTAAAGATTTTGTTTTATTTATCCAGAGAAACAAACAAACAAACAAACAAAAATTAAAAACACATCAATAGATTTCATCATTTAACAGTCATCAAAAATACATACTGGAAAGACAAAAATCTACACAAACCCCCTAAAAACAAATCCAGAGATGTGTCTTATAAGATGGACCAATATCCAAACTCACTCTGATTCATGCAGTGTTTTTTTTTATTTACTTACTAATTGGATGCACCAATACAATTCCAGTAGGGGTCCTGATTCTGCGTGTGTATTTTAATTTGTACTTGAAAAAGAGTTTTGACACCACAGCATTTCATACAACTTCACATTGATCAGTTTATACAACACTGGCTTTGACTGAAACTGTAGCTTTTCTACTGCGGTTCAGCTGATGGGGTACACAACAATGACACTCATCACTCATTTCCTTTTAAACTGAAGGTCTGAATTCAGGTCTCAGACTGGAGGTTTAAAAGAAATGGAGATGGACCTGTCCAGGGTGTACCCCACCCCTCGCACAGTCACTGCTGGATTTGGGCACCAGTGACCTCTGTGACCCGGAAAGGAAGAAGCGGGTATAGATAAAGGATGGATGGATGGATGGATGGATGGATGGATGGACACATGTCAAACTTTTCACTTAACTGAATCTAACTGTAAAGAAACGATTATATATATATATATATATATATATGGTAAATGGCTTGAACACATATAGTGCTTTTATAAATATTTTTACTTATATACTAGATAAGAATTTGTGGCTGCATATGCTTATGAGTTTGATTCCTGCTGTTTTTGGACTTTCTCCATGTAAATAAACAGTTTCTCCAGGCATGCTGGTTTTATCCTACAGTCTAATGGGAAGTTAAATGGCAACTTTAAACTGACACGATGTGTAAGCATGAACGGTTGGTGGTTTTTATGTGTGGTCCTGCCTCTCACCCAGTGACAGCTGAAGATAGACACCAGCTCCCAATGACCCTGAACAGAAAGAGTTTATAGAGAATGTCTGGATTATTACTATTTTCTGTATAGCACTCTGAGATTACCTTTGTTGTGACTGATGCTGACTCCATTCAGACATGTCTAAATAAGTTGTTATAATATGGATGTTTGTCTGGAAGTGTCAGCTGCGTCTGCAGAGAAATAAACTATCTCACGTCCTGCTGCGGTACTCTGTCTTTTTGTGTGTAACCGTCCTCACAGTGTCGCTCAGCCTCTGCTCTGACAGAACAGAGAGGCAGGAAGATGAAACAAGAAGACGCTTGAAGTCACGTGTTCATTCTCATGATGTTAAGAAAACCTCTGACCAATGTGAACCCTCTGACGTTTCCAGGCTTAATATTCAAGCAAGCATTTATTACATAATTAGTAAAATCACACTTTGGCAGGTTGTCAAGACAAAGTGAAAAATTTGGCATTTTGTTTTCATCTTGAATTAGGAAGGGTAAACAGGCTTTTCTTTGGGTCAAACCATGGCAGTTAAACATTATGAATCTGTGAGATGTATGTTTATTTGTTTCTGTTTTTGTAGATTTTGGCCTACAGGTTCCCTTTTTATTTGTTTTAATTTTAACCAAAACTTTGTTCTTGACTTTATCTTTTTAAATGATTCACAATCATCAATTACATAGAGCCTATAAATGTGCTTTAATATATGAATTAAAGTAACATTTGTTTCACAAGCATGTARTTATGTGTCACAATGTGTTGATGTTTTTGTAGAGCATGTTTACATCTGCTTATGCAAAAATAAAATCTCACATTATAAATTATTGTTCAAGCTAGAAGTATATTTAAATATTAGGGGTGCAACAATACATGTATCTGTATCAAATAGTTCAATACAGTGCTCAAGGTTTAATACGCACTTGTATCTAGCAATACAGATTTTTAAAATTTATTTTAACAACTTGTCTTCTGAAGATGCTCTGTGTTGAAGTCTCAGTGGATCTGTGATCAACTACTCCACCTAGGCTGCACTGTTGAGCTCAGATCCACTGGGTGTCATTGTGCTCTGTACAAAGACAATAAAGGCATCATCAATAAATCAATCAGTTCAATTTCATAATGGTACTTTTGAGGATAAACAAATGTTCATAATTAATTAACTTAAATTACAAGTATATATATATATATATATATAGTGGAGGTGCACTGATTTGTACCAGCACTATATAGACACTTGTCATGGGTACATTGATGTACATGATAAATGTTAAATGCATTAGTTACAGTTGATCACTGCTCCCACTTAAAAGAGGATTCTCCTTTTATTTAACTGAATTTTACTAATGGACACAACAGAAAAGAAGCAGAGGATGATGCTCTGTAAAACACTCATGAATGTCTGGTTCACACAGAAGCTTAAAGATCCGCCTGTTTGTTTCAAATAAGTTGTGTTGAAGCGTTTCCTGTTCATGGTCCGTGGCAGCAGAAGGGAGTGACATGATGTGCCTGGATGGCAATCACTTATGTCATATATTGCATGCTTTAAAACCTCTGAAGCAACTGATTTGTATAGATATTTCATATTTCTGATATCAAGCTTCTTTTTCCACATTATCTATTTTCATCAAAGCTCAATGTGACTGTTTGACATTATGTTTTATTTTGTACCATTGGTTTGATTTTCTGTATCTCTCTGTTCTCCAAGTTTGATCCTGTTCATGCAAGTTTCACTGTCATTCCAGCATTTGTTTTATTAAAAACAGTTTTATTTTATTTTTCAATCTTCTTGAATTAAGTCTGCATTCCTGCACCTGCATTTGGGAAACATTTGGTATTTGCTTTCTTTCTTGTGCTGAACCTTGCCTATGGCATACTGGTATCCTTCTAATGTATAAAGAACGCTTTTAACACTTTAGTATTTTATAGTTTCCACTGTATAAAATTGGATTAAACTGTATCACAATTACCCTGGTAAAAACCTGACCCTTGTTCTTCTCTTTTTTTCATATAGAGGGTCTGGGCTCTCGGCTATTGCTCGAGGCGTGGACTCTGTTGAAGTTTAAAACCATGTTCCTGATGAACTTTTTGGAATTTGTGTGACGATTAGAATGGACAGCAATATTTCCATACTTTATCTCTCAAGCATATAATCACATTTTTTTAATACTGGCTATAAATTTGTTCACAATTCTTCTTGCTGTTTTCTTAGAAACTCATCACAGTGTCATCGAAATAAATTTTGTTCGTTTGGATTTGTCGTGTTCTTTTTTTTTTTCTCTCTTTTTTTAGAGAGACCTTTATTGTCATCGTACAGAGCACAATGAAATTACAGTTCAGAACACCCATTCAGAAGAAGACAGAACATTACAAACATAGGAGAACAGGTGCCCTGGGTCATGCAGCCACAGACCCTGCACAGAGCAAAGATCATCTTCATTAAGACATCATCAAGAGGAGGCACAACCCTTTTAGTGTGTTTTACTGGAAACCCATCCAGTTTTGTTTTGCTATATTACTGTATTTTTGAATCAGACTCTTATTTAAACACAAAGTGTTTATGTGTGTTTAATGAATTGTTTGATTTGAGTTGTTTCAGGAATAAATAACTAAAATGCACACATTAAATTATGGAACCAAGTGCAATTTATCTATCATGCATGATCAACAGTGTTGCAAGTTGTGTTTGGCAGAGAGGGAGGAAAAAAAGAGAGAGAGAGAGAGAGAGAGAGAGACGGTGAGAGGAACATGAAGTGTAGGAGAGAGAGGTTCAGGCCTTTATGAGCTGAAGGCATTTCCACAAACAGCGAGCCAAGCTGTGCTGCAGAAATGAGATGCTAATTAGATGCTAATGATATGGTAATCTGCCCCCCGGTATTCTTTCACAGTGCTGAGGAGGGGGATCGAAGAGGCCTTTCACTATTGGTTGGAGACTAGGGATGTCCTGAAGTCAGAGTTCAAGACAAGAAAAGGGAAACTTCATGCACACATACACACATGATGAATCTGTGTGCTTGCAGGTTCCCAGAGGACTACAGCTGACAGCCCATCTGAGCAGAGGAGGAGTGACCAGTCCCTCACCTTCAATGACCCACTCTGGCCCATGCAGTGGGAATTGGTGGGTGTAATTGTGTGTGTGTTGTGTGCATGTGTGTGTGTCGTCATTGGTCTTATCTGGAAGTCTCTCCTCTTTTTTTGTCCTCATGTTCAAGGATGTTCATCTGACAGGCAGGAGTCAGACATGCCTTCATGTGTGACTGGAGAGGGAGACAGAAGATAGAGAGATAAGGGGATGGTGGAGAAGAAGAGAAGAGGTGAAAGGGAGCTGTCCATGTTGAACTGAGACAGATGTCTGGGACTGATGAGGCTTAGAGTAACACTGACACACAACGGGCTGAAACAACGAGACACAGTCATGTTAAAACCGATGTGTGTTTCTGAGGACCTGCACAAGTAGTGCAGTACGTTTTATTGTGACTAAGTTAATTTTTGTAACCTAAAAGCATCATCTAATTCAAAACCTTTCATTTGCTCCACATTTTCCTTTATTACAATAAGACAGTGAAGTAGAACTCATAAAAAGGGRCATAAAAAATCCACAATTTTAGCTGTTAAATACATTTTGTTGTTTACTTGTAGTCTCTAGGAGGCAGAAAAGTTGAATTTAGTCTCTCCTTGAAATGCAAAGATATCTATTTCTGTTTGGGTCATATTTTTCACCCTGTTCAGTTTTCTCTATTTCCTATGACATTTTCTGAGCTATTACGTCAAATTATTTGTGACGGAACTGCCAAATAAGGTCTGGACCTATTAATTACAATTAGGTGGTCTTCATTCTCCTCTGGTTCTGCTTCAGACTCTGGCTTCAACATGTAAGGCTGGATGGACAAGTCGTCCCTTGTTGACATCTCTTAATAAATATGCTATCAAATATTCACAACCCCCTCTATCAAACTAGAATGAAACATGCTGGAAGCTGGAGGGGAGTGGAGTGTGAAACGCCTTGTTTGGCTTTAAAGAGACAGCCTCAAAACAAGTTGATCTGAGACACAGCTCAGAAAAGGGGCAGGCTCGAGGAGTTACAGTAAGGAGGAATTCAGACCAAAACATTGTGGTTCCACTTTATATACACTCCAAATTTATGAATTAAATGTGACAAAAAAGATTTTAAAAACATGATATGTCTCCTTTAATTGTCCTATGGTAACATTTTGACTACTCAAAATGAAGAATTATTTTTACTTGACGTGTTAATTTTGGTCTGTGCTTTGGCCAGTATCTAATAAAAAACTACGGTAGCACATCACCATAACTGAGGTCAAATTGAAATTTGTCATTTCTAGACCCATTTTAGCTTAAATTCTGAATCTACATTAAGATTTCTCCTATTTTTCCTATAAATAGCTGCTTTCTCCCCAAGCATTTACAGGGACACCTCAGATAATCCCAATTTCTTGTGCTTTTAATTATACAGTATTTTTATTGTATTTGCTCTATAATTTGACCACTGTATCTATTTACCTTGATAGGATTTAAATCATTCTCTCCTTCATTTGATTATTTTATTGCCAAGGGTTCTACATGACCCAGCCAATCGACACAGTGGATGCCCGTGATTGACGCATGAGGGCGTAATCTGACAGAGTGAGGGGGAGGAAAGGCGGGCCCACAGACTCACCAAGGCAACCGGCAACAGATTGACTGACACCTCAGCTCTTGGGGCAAGATGGAGGGGTGAGAGTCAGGACGGGGGCGGAGGGCGGTACAGACAGGGAGAGGGAGTGAGGGGAGATGATGGAGAAATATGAGGCGGAGGTGAAAGAAACAACTCTCAAAGGTTTATCATGTGTGTGTGATCCGTTGCGAACAGTCACCTCACAATTTAGACTTTTTATTGACTCGATTATTTCTCAAAGCAGAGCGTGATGCATGTGGTACTGCATGAAGTATGAAACATAACCGATTATGTCACTTTAATCATATAGGCTGATTACATAAACAAGAGAATAGAACCTAATTTTCAATCACTCAGTAATCAAGAGGAATGGAAAGCATTTTTAAAGCTATGGGCCTTTCTCTCTCTCTGTCCGTCCCCTCACTTCCCCCTCCTTATTTCACTCTGTTGTGTTTAATCAGCCTCTGGTGGACGGAGATATTGATTGAGGGTCAGTAATCTGCTCGGGGTTGGTAGCCTGCCAGATGAATGTGTGTGTACACTGGTCAGGCGTGTATGTTTGGTAAAATCTTGTGTGGATGAGATGGACAAGTAGTGTACAACGGAAGGCGAGTTTAACTGACAGTCCATCGGACGAGGATGAGCTCAGCTCCTCTGTGTCAGGTCCGACAGAGCTGCTCAAGTCCATATAGCACTTATTATTACTTTTTAAAGCTTTAAATCATGTTATAATCCCTAATCAAAAACACACCCAGTRTTGCTTTGACTCATTCATGCATGTTTGAGAAATCCTTGAATCTCCTGTGGTAGCCATGTGGAGCTGCTGAAACACTTGCTGGTACAAAGCCCCGCCTATATACACAAAGCTCCTCCCAGCAGCTCAGTCTGCGGCTGAGCTACTGCCCTATAGAGCAACCCCTCCCTCGCACATATTMAGCACTAGCAGCAGCAACAATTAGCAAACACCTGGTTAAACTACACATCTGTTGAGCTTGAAATACTAACTACAAAACATAGCTTCATAATGATCTATACTTATAGTTTTGAAAGAAAGTATAGTTATTCGTGTTCRTTTCCAGAATGTGTGCTAAACCAAATGGAGAATGTGCAAATGCATGAAGAGAATTACTAAGGAGGAAACCATACAAAACCGAAGAGCACTCTTTGCTGACCTGTTTTATTCGAGTGACYAAGAGATCAGGCCGAGAACCAGGAAGTCCATCTAGATTTATCAAAGAGCTTCACGGCATGGCTCCGCCTATTTGATTACATCATCAGTGGGGTGTCCCTGTCATTCGGTCAAAGCCGTGCTCCTCAGGCATTAAAAACCTACTCTAATGATTTAAAAGCTAAAATATGTGTTGGATTTGTTAACAGGCATGTATCTATTAATATAAAAATCATCAAGTAAATCAAAAGTCACATTTAACTGTCATTACAGTTCTATCATAAAACAAACTATACCATGTGTAGTGTAATTAAAATCAGTATGTAACATAACCCCAATAATTTCTTCAGTTTCTTAGCCAAAAGTAGCTTAACATTGATGTTAATGTATGAGAGGATGACTGGGAGATATTACCAAGCTGAAATGTATTTTATGAACCTCTGTACTCACTTCAGTTCTTCAGAAAATTTACTTACTTGGTCCGACGTGAGTTCAGTCAAGTAAGTTTCAGCTGTATCCTGAGTTGCCATTTTCCAAATTCGATATTATCTAATGTTGCTTCTTTTTTTACAACAAAATACAACGCTTCTTCGAAAGCTTGTAAACAACATGAAGCATTGTTGTGAAGACATGTTGAAGTGGGATTGTCAGCAACAGTAGGAGGTTTTGAAAGAGACGGGCTGATTTCAAGTGGTTTAGATGCTATGGGAAGTTACATTTATTTTGATATACAAAGCATTTTCATGACATCTGAAGGTAGCATAGATACCTGATTGTGGTAAAGGTTTGAACTATGTGCCTGGAAAAAACGTGATACCTCCACAGTAAATGTGGTTTCATTTTGTTGCTAAGGTGCAGCCTTAAAGACTCATTGGYGAGTAGTTGGATTAACATGTTTTTTCATGTGTGCCTCTTGCACTGATAGTCTGTTTGTGCTTGTTGTATTTTTGTTTTGGAAAGGTTGCACACCATGTTTGTGCACGTTGGTTCGGAGTATTAGTGTATGAAGTGAATCTGCCTCTCTGTGAGCTGATCTCCGCTTTTATGAAGGTGTGTGCTGTGTGTGTATATGTACGTTTGTGTTTGAATGTGTCTTTCCCAGGGCCAGTCCCAGTGTTTCTGTTTACATTGGTCTGCTAGATGCCTCCATTCATCTGCTTCATACACACACACACTACAAAGCTTTGTGGCTCCCCAGTAGCTGTGCACAAACAAATGTACACACATACACAACCCAACAAACAGACATTTTTTTCATTGTTTTTTTTCCCTTTTTCTTTCTCTTTTAATTATAATATGAGTAATAGCCTTTTGAAACACTCATTTTGAATCTCCAGCTGTGTGTGGGGAGTGTGTGAGAGAAGAGGAGTTTGGGGAACTCGTTGACATTTCTGTTTAGACCATTTGTGCGCAGCCTTTTTGCTCTGCCTCTAAGTGTATATTTTAGTGTGATCACTAAAATTTATGGGAGCAGTTGTGAATTTTTTTTTCATCTCACCATGGTGGTGCTGTTTCTGGACTGCAACATGCAGACTTACGTGTGCATGTACAGTGCCTATAAAAAGTATTGACCCCCTTGGATATTTTGTGTTTTTATTGCTGTCCTAAATAAATCACGGCAAGTGGAGAGTGGCTTTGACCAACAAATAATAATAATAATAATAATAATAAAAATCTTCTTCAGTGTCAAAGTAAAATCAAATATCTACAAAGTAATACAAATGAAATAAAAATGTGTTATGAAAACAATTACATAAATATTCATCCCCTTTAAAATGAGCGTCCTAATTGAACTCGGAGAAAAGATTATTGAAAAGTACAAGTCTGGAGACAGTAAAAAGGGATTTCCAAGGCTCTAAATGTCTGCAGGAGTTCCCTTAAATCCATGATGAAGAAATAGAAGACGTATAGAACGTGTAAATCTACCAAAAGCAGTGTATCCTCACAAAATGACATTGTAATACGAATGTTGGAAAACTCATATCCTATCTAAACTAGGGTTTCTAGACAAACTTTAGTTGAGATTTAATGAGTTTCCTTCAACAGTGGCTTTCTCTTTGGCCTGACCTGAAACTACCATTTATCCGTCCGTTCGATCTCAGTCTTTGGGGTTTGATTTTGGTTGAAGTTGGAAACAGTTTCTTGTTGGTACATTTTTCTGTTTTTGAACGGCTTCAGTGTGACAGCACCTTTACATCCTTCAAGGGTAAGATCCAGATTTCCTCCATTGATCATCGAGACTAGTGGGCAGTATAGTTAAACAGCAGGTGACTAATACAGTCACAGTCTAGCCCACTCCAGTGCAATAATCCTTTTCAAATAGTTAAAATAACAATGTATATTTTTATATGTGTCTAGTTTGCACAGGGAGAGTACAACTCCAGTGGATTTGACCTGAATGTGATGCCAGTTTGGAAGAACAACATTACCGGCCGAGGCGTGGTGGTCAGCATCATTGATGATGGTGAGTCGGTTTTTATGAAGCATTTTGTGCACGTCTGGAAAATCAACTGGAACACCCCCCAAAGTTGGAATTCTGACTCAGACAGACAGAGATTCCAATAGGGCTGCCTTGTGCATGAAAAGTTCTAATAGCTTGCAGCTTGATGTCAGATCAATGTTTTATGAAAGGCAGCATTAATGCAACACATATTAATGCAAACAAAGACATCATAATGAGGAGTTTCTGACAGTTGACATATGCTATTATATTATATTGTACCACAGACACCCATCTGTTTTACATAAAATAATGTTCTGTATCCTGAATTCAACTCTGACCTACAGTTAAAAGGTTGAAGCATTTCTCTGCGTCCCCTCCCCCACTTAAGTTGCCCCGCCTCTCTTTACTACGGGCGCCGTCATCTTCGTTTCAGTCATGCCACAATGAAAATTCATTTCTCTCTGATTGCTGGGAAATCTGGCAACAAGGGAAATGAGAGAGCAGCATCTTATGGGCTCATTCATCAAGAACTAATTGAACCCTCACTAGTCTCGAGTGTTGATAGAGCTGGAGTTGTTGGAGCGCTCTTTTTTTAAAATGTGTGGGTGTTAAGGTGTTCATAGGCCACTTTCTTTTGGCAGTTAAGATCCTCTGATTCTGCCTTGTGTGTTCAAAAATTACATTTTGTGTTAAAAACAAATGAACTGTGTGTGTGTGTGTGTTTGTGTTTTGCGCGTGTGCTAAGTTTTTGTGCGAACGTGACAGCCGTTAACTTCGGCATCTGAATTTGATGAAAGATTCTGCCGTGAACAGAAGGCCTTCACTTTGTGTTGCATCCCTCTGCATACCAACTTTCCTATTTAGTGTGCGTGTGCATGTGTGTGCGAAGGGAATGGGG